CAATCTTATCCTACAGGGAACGTGGTCATCGCCAGCCGGCGAAAAGAAACTTTTTGAGTCGGAGGGTCCTACGATTCTCTGGTTAAAAAACAAGAAGTTCCTTGCAGTTAATGGAAAGGACGCGAAAGAAATTCGTAGTCGACTGATCAAAGCTATGTGTACAAGCAGTGACTTTGCAGGCGTGAATAGTAGCGTAGACAGGGCTACAAACACTGAGAATTTTGTTCATGATAATATATCTATAAACCACGGCGAAGTCATGCTTCATGACCTTCCTCCTTCAGCGGGACAAGCGCAGTCAAGTGTTCAAATCGATAGCACCATTGCACATGGAAACCTTTAAAACTGAACAGGTGATAAACAGCGAGACTGTTCGCTCGTTGGCTGAATCCGTTGAGCGGCTTGCCTCAATAGTAGCTGAAATTCAAACAAATGTGAAATCTGAGGCGCAGGATCCATGTGGTAAGTGCAAAAATGATTTTTTGCATGGAAAACATGTCAGTATAAAGTACTCACAAACACATACTAACTCTGATAATACCATTGTTTTAGAACAATCAGAGGAACTGAGTGATAACAAAAGTGAATATATATCTAATTCAGATGCAAATGATTTAGAAATAAATAACGATAATAACCATAAGGCCAAAATATATGAGTTAGTTAATGACATAGAACATAATAACACAAAACCAACCTATGCAGCTCTTGTGAAATCGCAATTAGTTAAAGAGAGCTTGTCTAAATCTGTATTAGAATCATCCTTAGAACCAACTCTAGAATCCTTACCATCTGTTAACAACAACAATAACAATAACAATGAAAACGTCAACAATCGCCACAATTAGATACGTTTAACGATGATGGTTTTATCGGTGTTGAGAGGAAACGGAAAAGAAATAAAAATCTTTTCTTATCAGGCATTGCTAATGGCGTAAAGAAGAATCATATATACACATACCTTACTAAAAGGAACATAGTTCCCAGCAGCATTTTAACCTTCTAAAGTAGAAGAAAAGGTACAATGTCTGCAAAAATAAGTATCCCTTCAACATTTGCTAAATCCGTATCAGAAGAGAATTTCTGACCTAAATTTGTCCGTTGTAAACTATGGCAGCAAAAAGAGCATGTACGAAAATCTGGCTCGCACACTAGAAATGAAAATGCTAAGACCCAAAGCTGTAAGGCATGACGACCCGCACGTTTTGAAAAACAGCGGGATCTGCAAACTGAGTTTGCAACTTCAGGAAGCGAGCAACGCTAATCGTATTATTAATTACGGTTATAAGATGTCATCAATCCAGGTTCTGTTGCTTAGACGCAGTGTGAAACCAAGCAAGTAATAAGTTAATTTTCTGTTATGCATTAAAATAAAAGTGTACAAATATGTCACAATGCTGACTGTTGACAAGTCACCTATAGGGCCAGGCTATACTATATAGCGTACAATGTGTAATAAGGCTGCGTATAATATGTAATAATTTTAAGACTTGTGTGTTGTAAAACAAAACGTTCTTGGTATCTTAGAGAATAGCACGATAATTCCATGTCAAGACCGCGGAACATATTTGCCGTTTTAGATCTTGGCAGTATAAAAAGTCCGGCTTCAAAGGCGTAAGTATTCTATGGCTAATAATAAAGAAACTGACTTATAAAGTTATATAATTATACCGCCTTTCGCTATAGGCCCTAGTGCACACATGAATCTGGTACAAACGTTTTCACCAACGTATATATCAAATGTATATATAGCTGCATTGACACCATTGTCTTATAGCTAATCTACGGAATCTACGCCCGCGCCTGCGTTGTGAGGCAAAGAATAATATAAGACTCCTTTTAAGCTTCCACTGGTTAAGAAAAGATGGGACATCTTCATAACCTATCAGCAAAAGATGGGACATCTTTCTGACACAAGAGTTTCCACTAAAAGTATTCTAGATATTATTCCCAAACCTAGCGCTATCGCTGCATGCAGCCATGCACCGTTTTACTCTAACTTAGCGTGATGTAAAGAATAATATAAGACTCCTTTTAAGCTTCCACTGGTTAAGAAAAGATGGGACATCTTCATAACCTGTCAGCAAAAGATGCGACATCTTTCTGACACAAGAGTTTTCACTAAAAGTATTCTAGATATTATTCCAAAACCTATAGCGCAAGCTGCATCGCCTTACTCTAACTTAGCCTGATGTAAAGAATAATATAAGACTTCTTTTAAGCTTCCGTTGGTTAAGAAAAGATGGGACATCTTCATAACCTGTCAGCAAAAGATGCGACATCTTTCTGACACCAGAGTTTTCACTAAAAGTATTCTGGATATCATTCCAAAACCTAGCGCTATCGCTGCATGCGCCGCTTTACTCTAACTTAGCGTGGTGTAAAAAATAATATTATAGACTCCTTTTAAGCTTCCGCTGGTTAAGAAAAGATGGGACATCTTCATAACCTGTCAGCAAAAGATGCGACATCTTTCTGACACAAGAGTTTTCACTAAAAGTATTCTAGATATTATTCCAAAACCTATAGCGCAAGCTGCATCGCCTTACTCTAACTTAGCCTGATGTAAAGAATAATATAAGACTCCTTTTAAGCTTCCACTGGTTAAGAAAAGATGGGACATCTTCATAACCTGCATGTCAGCAAAAGATGGGACATCTTTCTGACACAAGAGTTTTCACTAAAAGTATTCTAGATATTATTCCAAAACCTAGCGCTGTCGATGTGGCATACTCCAAATTTGATATTTCAACTATGCTCTATAGGTATAGCCACAAAAATATTGCGGGATATTGTCAAATCTGAAAGCCAGGGGTACGGCCCATCTCTGCGTTTACTCATCACTAGCTCGCCCGGGAAATAATCTGGCGATGCCCATGCAGCGTAATGTCTAATGAGAATGATATCAAATTTAGTTCAATGGGCCATTTTAGACTAATTTTCGATGCTTTTGAAAATGCTTATACGCAAGTTTAATTTGAACGCTGATATCTCAGTCAATATTTCATGATATCTCATGTATAACCTATCAAAATTTAAGTTAGCCTTTTATGAATACAGCTACATTTATTTGAGCGATGTATAGCTCTTATAGTTTTTTTGCTATGGTAGATCAAACGCCTGAACTTTTTTTGCGCCACCCGGTATATCTATGTAAATAAATATTATTTGTCTTGAGCTACCTTGTATCAAAATATAGAAATGAGTATATTAAATAACGAATATAGTACAATCAACTCGCGGTTGTGATAGCCCTGCTTGAAAGCCGTGGTATCTAGCATACTGTATACGAAAGAAATAATAACTGATGCGTGCTGCAATACCTATAGGCTATAGCCTTTTGACTATTACCTAACCTTACTGATTGAAAATACTTCACATTAATCTATAATCTTTATTCTTTAATAAGCAGCCATCAAAATATTGCCAGTTTGTTCGATCTTGATCTCCATCCTGAATCCATACACACGATTATCAAGCAGAATGCACTCTTCTTCAGACCATTTGGCGCAATTTGAACTTTGCGCGGCATTGTCTGCTAACATTATTATGAATTGGTGATGACAACCTGGTTTGTATGTTAGCTCAGTTAGTTATTTGCTACATCATATCTACGGGGTTAAATTTCATGCACGCATAAATTATTTCACTATAAATTTATTATACATGTCACCACTCTTACCACCTCGACTAATAATGCTGTGGTAACTAACACCTTCAAGATAATTCAATTTATAGGCGTGCGGGTCGTCATGTATTCAATTCTTTCCAATGGCTTATTGTATTGGTAGCCGTTCCCGTCGCGTTGCCGTCCTAAATCGTAAGGTCTCTACTATCGACTTCGAAAACCTCTTGCATGGCCTCCATGTTGTTAAAAAAACGCAAGAAACACGCGTCTCGAAGGAGTCACGAATTAGTGTTCATGAAGTTAACGAGCCTGCACTATACTTAGGTACTCTATTTTAATTGGCTGATGGCGTGAAAAGGTGACAGCGTAATATGATGTTTTCTGCAATCGTTGCCGAAAGTTAAAATGATTTAACTTTCGGCAACGATTGCCGAAGGGATTAAATTACAGTTGCTTTGCCGTGCAGAACATGACATACGTGCAATTGTATCTCTCGCGTTGGCAATGGGATGAAATTTAATCCGTTGCGTTGCCGGCGCGAGAAAAAAGTCGCACGTGTAACCCTAGCTTAAGCCCTTCTAAAATTCGCGTCCCGGTGCGCGTATTTGCAGGATACCTGTAATGGGCGGATATGCAACGTAATATTTGCGTGAACACGCAAATATGCAACGTAATATTTGCGTGTTCACAGCAACGCAGCACCAACCATCTGGTTCGAGAAGTATTATAACAAATAATAGCCCGCCTTATTAATTTTCTTGAAAGCTATGTTGCTGTTTCCTCAACCATTTATAGGTAATTATAACTAATAAATAATTTAATCCAACATTCAAACTAAATCAAATTATTCCCGTTCACGGGGTAGGCAAACTTTCATAAGATACGTTCACATTACGCTGAAGCGATTTGAAAACGGCGCAGAAAAGTCACATGTACAATTAGTGTGAGAATGTCACTTTTGCGTAACAATTATCAACGACCACGATTTCTAAACGGAGCAACATGAAAACGAAGCGCTTGGCGTCGTCGTGCATGTGAACACAAACGCCAACCGTCACCTAGCCTTTTGTACCGCTTGCAAACCAAGCATCTTGATCAGGTCTCAAAACAGTGAATTCCGTCATGCTTTACGTTTATATTTCTTTGCTCTATTCGAAATATTTTGGCTTTACATGAATACTAAATTTAATTTGTAAACGAACGGTGTAGTGTGAGCACACATAAATTCTGCCGGCATCATTTAGCCCCAGTGTAGTCACAACGTAGTCTTATTAAAATGCCGTAAGAATACATCGATTATATCGACATGTACGAAAGCTTTAATGTACATTTGGAACGAAATTTTTTATTGTGTTATAGAATAACTTCTTTTGCAGTTTTTCGTTCCGTTGCTTCGTTTTCGAGATATTTCCGTTAGTTTGATAAAAGTGTCATGGCTTCTACGTCACAAATATGCATATGATGAGCATGAGTTAACTTAGCTTAGGCACTTAGCCTCCTCCTTTAAAACCCATTTGCAGGTAAAACCCATAGAGAGGCCTGCGGAGGAGGCTAGAGTTGACTGAAAATGTTATATTCTTGTTAGTTAACCTGAGCAATTAATCCTGGCGAATGAAAACATAAGGGCCTGATACTCAGGTTACTTGTTAGTATGACATGTTTCTTGGTATTTGATGTGGTATAGAACAATACATAACAGTACTTCTACTATAATTAAGTGATTTGGTTTAATGATAAGAAGGATATCAAGCTTAATATAATTTTAGTCAATCATTAACTCACAGTGTGCCGATTCTTTATTAATCGGCACGAATACGAGCCCGTGTGCATTCCGCACGCTCACGTGAGTGCAGAAATTTAAACACGAAATCTAAATCAACAACGTGAAAATTTCAATTTTCTGACATGTAATTTTGCAATGAGCTCTTGAACAGAAGAGAAAGATGAAATAAAAATTATTCACAGTTCTTACAGGCATGAATTAAAAATTAATGCCAGATAATTATCTTAATATTGACCACAAAGGGGCGTATGGCTGTCTTCAGCTCGCTTAGCTTGCATGCATTAAAACAATGTTTCTTGTTTCTTCCCTAATTGATTGCTCGTAAAATTGACTATAGAATGATATTAACAGGAGATTACACTTGTTCTCGACGTATTAATGAAACATCACACTTGTGTTTGGTGAAATATTGCAATAATATTGCATTTGAAGGAGTGAGCAAGCAAAACCCATAATATTGAGAAATATATTGCATTTGAAACATTGCATTTGAAAGAGTGAGCAAGCAGAACCCTTGAAGGACAATACATAACAATACAATTATAGAACAATACATAACAGTACTTATTAACAGTACTACAGTACTTATTATTAACAGTACCTTATTTAAAAATAAGGTTAAACACATATTGAACACAAAATTGCTACGATTGGTGTTTACATTACAATGACATCGTTGCAAAAACAATCGGGCACGACATGCACCACCTGGACGTGCACCGGGGCTTCGATGCAGAAATTGATACGATCATGCATTTCATGTGTTTGTGTAAACAAAAGTCGCTACGCAAGCAATCCCATACAATGTAAATAAAATTATAGCCTGCAGTGATATTATGACAGGACTATTTTGGTGAGTAGTACAGTTATGTGACCGTGATCATTTATCAACTATTCTATAGACATGAATTCAACAATCAGCACTGAGCATCTTTCACAAGATCATGACGATTTTCGACCAGATGACGCTACATGGATTTTGACGAGTGCCTTCATTATTTTCACAATGCAATCTGGTTTTGGCCTGCTCGAGGCAGGTATTGTCTCAAGAAAGAACGAAACAAATATCATGGTGAAAAACGCTATTGACGTTATTTATGGAGGCCTTGCTTACTGGATATTTGGTTTTGCAATAAGTTTTGGGAACAGCGAACTAAATAACAGATTTATGGGCTGGGGAAACTTTTTTGTCGATTCTGATGACGATTTTGGTATATTTGCCAAGTATTTTTTTCAATTATCCTTCGCTACGACCGCAACGACAATTGTTTCCGGCGCAATGGCTGAAAGGGTAAATATCAACGCTTACATAGCCTTCTCTTTTGTAAACACCCTATCGTACGCCTTCCCTGCGCACTGGATGTGGGACGATAAAGGGTTTCTAAAGGAAATGGGCGTAGTTGACGTGGCTGGATGTGGTCCTGTCCATCTTGTTGGTGGTATCGCCGCTATAGTCGCAGCCATCATGCTAAAACCACGGAAAAACAAATTTGATGAGCATGGAAAACCACGTGATATAGAAATGGCGTCTCCAACAAATGTCCTGCTCGGGACGTTTATGTTGTGGTGGGGATGGTTAGGGTTCAACTGTGGTTCAACGTTTGGAATTTCAGGGATAAAGTGGAAACTTGCTTCCAGGTAGATTATAGCTATGTAACGGATAAAATAAGTCATTGACTTTTTACATCTACATTATTAGCATTCTCGAAGTAAGGTGTCCATCATTGAGGATAATCAGGTTAATTAACAAGAGGTTTTGGCTAATTAACCTTTCTCACGCCGCCAATTTTTGGGTGACTTTTCAGCCGAAATCTGCAAGATAAGTCCACATAACGGCGACTTTTTATAACTTTTTGGACGAATGATGGTACATTTGTTTTGTAAATGGTTAGTTTATTTTGAAAAATTGCTATTCATGTTGTTTTAGTTGTCTGCATTGGTTAACGAGAATTAGATGCCACCCAAAAATGGCGGATATTCGTCATCGTGAGAAAGGGTAATTGCATGCATGGCCGGTCGTACTTTAAACTGCTATGGCAGCAGTTAAGCGTAAATATTTGTTTAGAAAGTTTGAAAATTTACACAATGCTCAGTTTTGCGGAGCGATATATACTGTTACTGTACTCCGAACAACTCTGAAATATCTCTTGCTCTTGTGCGATTTGGTACGAGAGTTGAAGAAAATGTTTTATAAACTCTCGCTTTCAACTCTGCTAGATTATTATGCTTGTTTCATCAAGCAGCCTTAAATAATTAATATCACTTGCGATATCTTTAATTAATTTAGATCTGCTGTAGTCACAATAAATGGCTCAATTGGTGGAGGTATTTTTGGTATGGCCTACAGGTAGGTTTAACACCGCGGAAAAACGTCTGCGCATGCGTCAACCTTACCTGTAATAGTATTGCGAACTTGATGAAAAGCTGTTCCGAACGTTTCAGAAGGCACAAAATGGCGGTAAAAAGGAGTGACTTCATTGTGCGTCTTTACAGCCAGATTTCGAGTGCAAAAATAAACATGTCATTCTAAAAAACTAGGAAAAAATACAGCCAGAAGGTTCAAGAAATTGTATTGTACAAGAACATGAACTAAAGGTGATTGTTGACAAATTTATCGTCTGAAACATTTCGTTTATCAACTAAGCAACGATAATTTCCGAATTTTCGTTTGAGATACATTTCTTTAAAAAAAAACTGTGTCGCCAAATATAAAAAATTTTCGTGTTCACAATAATTAAACTTTAGGAAGTGGGTTAAGAAGTGAGTGGGTTAAGAAGCTTAACTTTTCGAGAGTTTTCTTAACTTTTGAGTTCGAATTTTTGTTTTGAATAATTTTGCAAAAATTTTCGAAGTCGTGTTCGTTAAAATCAACAATTTTTACATGAATTATATTTTATTCCATACTTTAAATGCCAGGACGCTTTCAATTAATGTCTAGTCTACCCATTTGCTATGTTTTCTCGTTTGTTTTACTAATTTTTGACCAATTAATAAGCATGTTTTTGTTTTAGAAATTGATATTCAAATTCCCCGCCATATTCTCATAATTTGGTGCATGCGCAGACGTTTTTCCGCGGTGTTGGTAGGTTTACATAGTCTGGCTTTTTCCGAACAGCGCATGTGCCTCTTCAATCCTTTCGATAATTACGTCATTTGGCCTGGCAACCTCGCTCTCATGAATCGTGAGCCAATCTCGTACACTTTTTTGACGTTGGAGTACACCCTTTCGATAATTACGTCACACATACTTTTTGTCTTGGAGCCTAGCTCCTCATTAGTAAATAATGCAAGGTGATTACCTTGCATTATTTACTAATAAGGAGCTAGGCTCCAAGACAAAAAGTATGTGTGACGTAATTATCGAAAGGGTGTACTCCAACGTCAAAAAAGTGTACGAGACGTTCAGGATTTCAAAACACGCTTGATGATGGACATATCTAGATTGAATATAGAAAATAATTGTATCTAATAATGCAGGATATTATGAAGGCCCAGTGATCGAAACTAATTTTCCATACAAGGTCTTCGGCTATAGGTTCGCATTTTCAATTTAACAGCAATTCACGACTGCTTCCCAGTTAGGTCCTTTTTATGCCTCCGTCCCCTTAAGAATTCCTAAAAATGGACCCGTAAACAGGAACTAGAAGGGATTTTACGCATCATCAGTGGAAAATATATTTAAGATACCGTGGTTATAAGACACCTTGATTGAAGCTCAAGGTTGTCGATTGTTACCAATTAATCTATGGCAATCTGCATGGTTACCGATATGAAATACCCTGGAGGATTCGGAAATCAAAGTTAGACTATTTGTGCGAGCACTGAAATTTGGAGATCTATGGATGGTGTTAATCTGGCGCCTGGCGATACTCCTCCATGGATATAGGCGTAAATGTGCATTTAACATGTTTCCAACCCTTAGCTTTGCCAGATTGAGAGAGATTATTAATTACGCATATATTATTAATCATTCCAGCTGCATTTTTCATAAGAGGAAATTGCTTATCAACATATTGGTAACTGGATTACTGGGAGGACTTGTGTCTGTTACAGGTAAGTTGGTTTAAATCAAATTTTGCCAGGACGAAGCATCAATGCATGCATGATAATTATTCGTTTGATTTTTTAATCTCGTATTGCAATTCTGTATGTACGTTATTTACAACATGAGCGGCGGTGTCGTATCGAAAGAACAAAAAAATACAATGTTGAAGTTAGATTTTCAAACGCATTTCGATGTTTATGTACGAGTTTTTCGTTATTTAGTTTTTTTGTACGTTTAAATACGTTGTTATAAATTTGATATTTTTTGCCAACTCTGGCCATGGGGAAGTAACGCTGTGCGCGTGAACTGTGAAACTTGCAATTCATGTAATATGAATTATAGAGATTTTAGTGTAGATTAATCAAGCGAGAATATGCATTTTGATTAAAGCAATTTTATGGAAGTTTTTAAAAAAAAAACCTTTTCGAGAGACCTACATATATATGGTTTCACGGTCTAAAGTTTACGGTCTAAAGTTTACGGTCTAAAGATATGAATAACCCATTGACCCATTCATGTTCGAAAGGGAATAGAACATGCCTTAAAATAAACCTATTTTATTAGGATTGTTCTATTATATAGTTCGAACGTTACCAAGCACAAATGTATATGCTTCGCTTATTGAAACGCAGTGTATCATGTCAGTGAACTATAACAAGTATATTAGTATATATTAGCTAAAACGTTTCGTAATATTTTTGCTAATCATAACAAAGTTGGTATTGTAATAAGTTCTTAATTTGAATACAATAAGGTAGCGACAAATAAATCAAGAACTTTCGCAGATGAAACGTATTCCTTCTCAATGAAGCATTCGGAGCAATTATCAATAGGCAGGAACCTGAGATATCCATGGCAGGAACCTATTTGATATAAAAATGTACGTTGTTTACCCATGCAGCTCTGCACAAAATAATGAATGGGTTGGGAAAGTTAGAAAGACCGAATAGCTAATGAAAGTATCAATTCTTAGTTTTTTAAACTACTTTTCAAGTATAATTTTCGCTGTTCATAACGTTATAGGCACACATTATGCCCTCTTACGAAGCCTAAACAATAGGGAAAGTGTCCTTTTCTAATAGAAGAAGTGCCCCTAAGGCAAAGTGCCCCTCCACTAGAAGATACTTCCTATACGCCTAAGACTACAAGGCATTGAGATACTGTACGTAATATATAATATTTCTTTAACTATTAACTAGCAATTTGTGCTGTTTGTCGTCCATGGGAAGCTTTGGTGATTGGATTCATTGGCGCCGCTGTAGCTATTGGAGGCATGGTCATGGAGGATAGGCTGTGTATAGACGACCCCGTTGGAGCGTTCCCAACACATGCGCTCGCCTCTGTATGGGGACTTATTGCCACGGGACTCTTCTGCGAACGTACGGAAGAGTTTGCTAAATATTCAGGTTTATTGAAAGGTGGGACCTGGAAATTTTTGGGCAACCAAATTCTAGCAATCGTCAGCATAGCCTTGTGGTCGGCGATCACAACATGCATTCAGCTTTACATCATCGATAAAATATTTGGCCTTCGCATGACAGACGCAGAGGAAGAAATCGGGGCCGATTATTACGTGCACAATATATTATATAGCGAGGAAACAAAATCAATCACACTAACTGAAAATGAAAACGAAAATGACAGCAGTGACGATACTGATCAAGAAATACCGTCAGCTAATGTCGATGATAGAGGTCGAAGCACGCAAAAAAATTCTGCTATGGAATGTCTTCCTGTTGACATGAACAATCTTCGAGAAATTAATTCAAGACACTCGTCTGGAAAGCATAAAATGCGAATAAATGGGAATAGTGTCATTAGTAATAACGAAATATCGTTAAGAGTCGCCCCATATTTGGAACAACAGGTGGCGTTACCAAAAGGAACAAGCAATTGTGGTTATCATAGTGCCTAGCCTGCCAATATAAGGTCATCCATTGTTACCAGGATATTATACAGAGGTATATTTAAATGCATGATTTAATCACTCTAGCAGTTTCTTAATTTTAGAATAAACACACAGTAACACGTGATGCAATTTTATGCGAGAGAAGGGGTTCTGGGAGTGCAGACTCCCAAAAGGTCTCGCTCTTATATTTATGACTGTGCACGGGCATCCCAAAAGACTCGTATTTTTATCCTGCGAAGCTATGCATGAGAGAGCAAATGCCATATGTGTAATAATCAAAGTATAGCGACCGAGACATCATTAACTGTCTCTTTCGTCGGATGAAAACTCATTATTTGACTATGTAAATTGTATAAGTATATTGCAACTGAATAATTTAGGTAAAATGCAAACAGTTGTTATAGTAATGAACCATCACTATTATATATATATATATATATATATATATATATATATATATATATATATATATATATATATATATATATATATATATATATATATATATATA